GGGCAAAATGATTAAAGCACAATATGGCCTGGCCCGGTACAAAACACTGGTTTAATGTGCTTGTTTCAGTGGATAAATTCCAGCACTGAACTAGAAATCTGCGTAACATCCTTAACTCCCTCTGTGAAGTATGAATCCATCTTATTCCCAGACTGTCTTGAAATGTGTCTCCTCAGTGCGTTGGCTCTGTTTGAACAGACTTCAGTGGATTTTTCCCCAACAGTCCAAGGTGGTGGTTTCTTTCCAGCTTCACCAAACCTGTATGCCATGTTAATCTATTAAGTAACCTTACAAACACCAGTCTTAATTTATTTTCCTAAAAAAAATATATATAATATGTAGGCTAAACAAATGTCAGAATTTTAATCTCCCCAAACTTACCCATCACAAATAGCCCTCTGGAAACTCGGCTTGTGCATTGTGAAACATCAAGTCCCTCCACCCATACAAAGGTATTGGCTTTGAAAATTGCTGCTGCTTTATGTAGTTGTTATAACTGAGGATTTGGGAATCACAGCTCATCATCCAGGGGGTCCCACCGAGGTTACACAATTTGTCTGTCTCCTTCAGAAATCACATCTTGCGTGAGCTTCCTCAAAGGACCACAGATGTTTCATCCTCGGTCTGTGTGATTGAACTGCGTGAGTGGACTGGGTGCTGTGCATTTCTTTGAAGCAGATTTTCTTTCATGTGAATGCATCATGCATGTTCGAGTGGACCCTCGAACCACAGGCTAGCTATTGATTATCAGGAGAAGGGTATGAGGCGTTTGTGATTTATTCCTCAGGGAGTCCATGTAATGAGGCACACAGCCACATGGTGATAGCTCAATTTCCTGTTCGCCTACAAGGTTGGCCCCTGTGACACCACTACTGTTACTGCATTGGCGATAGGCTAATAGTGTTGGCCTCTCTGTGTGGAGCTTACCGAATGTGACTGATGAGAGACGATACAGTAACCTTAGTGTAGCATAAAGAACAAATACTTTTTGAGACTGTGAATTTATTTTGCAGCTGAAACTGTACCTGGATTTTATTAGCAGTTTCACCCTGAGATGTTTGGGTTGTCTGGTTGACATCAGCATGATATTGAAGAGATTTGTAGGTCGGAAACCAGAAGGGTGTGCTCCAGTTAACGGGGTATCACACTCCCCAGCTTGCCTGGGTATAACTGGGTGCTGCTGATTGGTGAAACTGGTTGAGGAGAAGCAGTGTGATCTCTGTCTTGATGCTGAACAGACAATGAGCAGTGTGGAACTGGGATTTCCAAACTGGAAAGCGTCCCTTAAATCCTCTAAGTCAACATATCAGTGAAATTTGATTACTCTAGATCTGTGTACAGTCTTCAAGGCTGTCAAAATATTGACTTTGAGGGTGATGTTTTTATTTTTGTCCACAGATGATCTATAGTTATGTCAGACCAATATTGTCAAATAATCTTTAAATCCATAAGCTGAGCCAATTATTTTTCAAAAAGTGTGTTTAGAAAGAAAAACCAAATTAGTCATTTAATGGTGTGATTCTCTGCCTCAATTAAAGGTGATTGCTTTGTTTGCTTCACACCTCCCACACTTTGTTGCTTGCCCTGTGGTAAATAACAATAGTGGTGCTGATAATGATGGCACATTACACTTTCCACCAGATGTGTGGCATCCAGAAGTGTTTGGTTGTCATCCTCCTGTTTTGTATTTAATGTCAGCTCAGGCTGCTCATTAGCTGTGACCAACCAGATGTAACATTTGTCATCCCGTTGGATGGTCTTTTAGCCAAATACCCAACAGTGTGAACCCAGTTCTCTGGAAACGGTCATCGTTGACATTAGCATACCAAGATGACCTTTGCTTCAGGTAGCCTTTGACTGACTCCGAACTGCTTTATCCCGCGAGCGAGCAATGTTCCCTCCAGTGTAAATAACACATCCTACAGCATTTTGTAGGAAGAATCTAAGCTAAAACATGCACTTCTGTCTGTTGCACCTTGAGTGAGTGAAGCCCTGCCCTCAAACAGACACACAGACCTGAGACTGGATGCACGGAGTAGCTACTGTAATTCCAGATTTCCATTTATAAATTTCCATCCATCTTCATCCGAGACCGGGTTGCGGGGGCAGTAGTCTGAGCAGAGCCTCCCAGACTTCCGTCTCCCCACACACCTCCTCTAGCTCCTCAGGAGGAACCCCTTGGCATTCCCAGGCCAGCCGGGAGACATAGTCTCTCTAACGTGTCCTGGGTCTGCCCCGAGGCCTTAGCCCAGAGGGACATGCCTGGAATAGGCGTCCAGGGGGCATCCTAAACAGGTGCCCAAGCCAACTCATTTGGTTCTGCTCAATGTGGAGGAGCAGTGGCTCTACTCTGAGCTCCTCACGGGTGACTGA